ATGGAGGAGACGAAGAGCAACAAAATAGACTGGTCTTGCTTCACCATGATCTGTACGCCGGATTCGGGATTTGCCCGGTGGTGGTTGCCACGCCGGATGCAGATTCGCCGGAAGGGGAGGAGGCAATGGTGGCCGGCGGACACTCAATCTCGTCGTCGACGTACCCGAGCAACTCTTGACCTTTTAGGAACGGGACGAGTTGTGTACGCCAGAAAAGGTAATTTCGGGAGGTTAATTTAATCGACACAAAGTGATGTGCCGATGAGAGGGGATTGGAAGTGGTGGCGGATGGTGGGCAGTGGTGGTGATTGTTCGTTCAGAAGAATTAGTCGACATTTTGGGAGTGGTGGAGAAAAAACAGGAGGATCTAACCCAAACCTGCTCTGATACCAAATTGAAACATGTGCTCCACCTCAACTAAAAGCTTAAGCTCATAGTTGGATACACATTAATGGATATATGCTCACAAATTGAAACATGTGCTCCACCTCAACTAAAAGCTTAAGCTCATAGTTGGATACACATTAATGGATATATGCTCACACGCCCCCTCACGTGTACGGTGGATTCCAACCAACACGTGGACCGGTAAACCGTAGCCGCTTACGAGTGGCGTTGAGATTCGAACCCATGACCTTTGGTCTGGCTCTGATACCAGATGAGAAAGGAATTTCAAAATTCAATTACTGAAGATAGATGTTACAATAGTAATAGGAATAGATAACGTATTCTACTCCTATCTAATAGCCTAGTCTAAGTCAAACAGACTAGCACCACATAAAATAATAAACCTATTACAATAAATATAACAATAGAATATGTAACATTATTAACACCCTCTTCCCCGGAGACAAAGGAAGAGGGGGAGAAGGGGGTCGTTTTTATTTTATTTTATTTTATTTTAAATTAAAATTAAAATTATTAAAAATTATTTAAAAATATCAATTCAGTTGCCACATAAGCAGGTAACCTGCTATCAGGTGAAATTGCATATATTTGGAGGGCAAATTATATCGTGCGCCACGCCGCACATAGCAATGTGCGTCTAGCCAAAAAACGCGTGCATTTCATGCTGACGTCATGTTGACCTCACTCTGTTCTTCTGAACAGACCAAACCTTATTATGTGTATTCAGTTAAAATTTTATGTGTATTGTGTTATGAGTTTATGTGTATTCAGTTAAGAGTTTATGTGTATTCAGTTAAGAGTTTATGTGTATTATGTTAACCAAACCCCATTATGTGTATTCAGTTAAAAGTTTATGTGTATTGTGTTATGAATTTATGTGAATTCAGTTAAGAGTTTATGTGTATTCAGTTAAGAGTTTATGTGTATTATGTTATGAGTTTATGTGTATTATGTTAAGAGTTTATGTGTATTATGTATTATGTTAGATTATGTGTATTCTGTTATGAGTTTATGTGTATTCTGTTATGAATTTATGTGCATTCGAAACAGATGATTTTTTTTTTAACAACTTAACAAAACGACGTCGATTTGGGAGGCGCAGGGCGCACATTGCTGTGCGCACCCTGGTGCACGGTATAACGATTACATTTGGAGTGTTCAGTGGCCTAATTGCACGTTTTTTTAGTGTTCGGTGGTGTAATTGCACTTTATTTTTTTTCGTTCAGTGACCTAATTGCATTTTCAATTTACGTTCAGTGGCCAATTTGAACCTTATTCCAAATAAAAACACACTATGCTCACCTCTTTTCCTTGTATATGTCTTGAATTACAGAAAACAATACCAAGAATGACGTTTTTATACTTTCTTATTTATTTTCTTGGAATAAGGGTCAAATAGGCCATTGAACTACACACTAAAATGCAATTAGGCCATCCAACTCAAAAATACTACAATTAGGTCCTTGAACATGACAAATTAAAGCAATTGAACCCAAAGTGACTTGTTGACCAGGTAATTATATGACATGGCGGTTAAAAAATATTTTAATAATTTTTTAAATAAAAAAACTTCAAAAAAATAAAAAAGAAAGATGAAATAACAGCTTGCTCGAGTCGACGGTAGAAATTTTCGCCGGTGACGATTTTCTCCTTAATCTCCGGTGAAGAAGTGGAATCGAGTAGGCTGATAAGCACCTGAACGACTCCCTTCGACACCTCGATCAACACGCTCCTATCGTCTTCCTACAACAGTCCGAGGAGTGAGTCGAGCACCGTGTTCTTCGACTCAGTGGTCCCGATCTGGAGCCGAGTGATCAGATTCGTCGTCTCCGCCCTAATCGTCTCCCTCTTCGAATAACTACTCAACCAAACGGCGTCGTTTTCGCAGAGAACGCCGCTCTTGATAAGAACCTCGAGGTCCCTGCTAAGGCTATCGATTTTTGCGGGCAAGGAATAGATGTTGTTCTGCGTCTTGCGCTTCCCGCCGGGGAGGGTTGGGGTTGTGGCAGCGAACTGAAGAGACAGCCTGTCTGAAATGGTGGCGGAGAGTGACCGGAGAAGGTCCGCCGAGAGAGGGTTGTCATTGGCGGCGGAGGAGAGATCAGAGAGGTGAATCTGAAGGGCTGAGAGCTTTGTTCTGATCAAAGACCATTTTCCCATGAAGCTTTGGGTTTGAGTAATGGAATCAAGGAGGCACAGTAGTCACAATACTACTTCAGCTTGAAAGAATTCTAAATGGTCTTCGTGGCTCTTCGGAGACGAAAACAGGTCCACGAGGGGGAAGGGGTGGCCAGAAATTTTTTCTTTCTTTCTTTAAATTTAAAATAATTAAAATATTTTTTTTTCAAAAAAGTAATTTGTTTACCGCCATGTCATCTAATTACCAGGTCAATAGGTCACTTTGGGTTAAATTATTTTAATTTGTCATGTTCAAGGACCTAATTGTAACTTTTTTGAGTTGGATAGTCTAATTGTATTTTAGTGTCTAGTTCAATGGCCTATTTGATCCTTATTCCTATTTTCTTCAACGGCTGATGTGCCTTTTTGTGATATCAAATAAAGCCTATCATGGTAGTATTTATATGACTGTATGGAGTTGTAAGATGGGGTGGCATTTATGTATGTGTGAGTTTGAGTGATAAGATATGTGATATTTATAGATGGAATGGTTTGAAATATGGATATACGGTGGTGAGATACGTAAGTCCAAAAAATGAAACTATTTAAAAAAAAAAAAAAAAAAAAAGACGAAACTATTAAAAAAAATGACATTTGTTTTTTCGTCTCGTGAAGCCTTTATTGTCAGACTGACGAGACCCATCGAAAACTGATGTGTCTCGTCAGCTTTTTGTTTTTTTGCATTTCTCGTTGATGATCCAAAAACAATTCAGAAATTTCAAGAAACTCGTTTGAGACTTGCACTTCTAACATGTTAACTGAAAAATTAGAAAATAGAAAACAGAAAACAGTTTTCTGTTGGTAAACGACCCTTAAAGTCTCAAACGAATTTTTCCTAATTTTATATAAGTTTTAAAAATTTCTTATTATTGTCACTATTCCTTGAAAGTTGATTGTTTTAGTAAAAAACATGTGGGATACATCCCTGACATATTATCATTCCTAGTTCGAGCTAACAAGGGATGATAGAACAATGAAAGTATTCAACAACAAAAATTAAAATTAAAATTAAAATCGTAATTTAAAACATATAGAGTTAATACCTAAAATGGTCCCTCGACTATGCCATAATTATCAATTGAGTTAATACTCGAAATTGAGAAAAATCACTAAACGACTTTGGTGACCTAATATCGTCCCAGACTTTTGTGTTTCGCTCAATTTAGTCCCAGATTTTTGTGTTTTTGCTCAATTTAGTCCCTCATTTGATATTCTGTCCATTTGGTGTTAAATAAATAGACAATTCAGTAATTTTAATATTGGCATCTCTTTACTCATAGACATGTGAACTGCGAAATCCCTTTTTTTTTTACGAATTACTCCTAAAACTACGAATATAAAATTTGATTTGCAGGTCCGGGAGTAAATCTGGGTGTAATTCGTACAAGAAAGAGGAATTTTGCACTTGACAAGTTGAAAGTAAAGAGAGATCAATATTAACATTACTGAATTGTCCCTTAATTTAATACCAATTTGACGGAATAACAAATGGAGGACTAAATTGAGCGAAACACAAAAGTCTGGGACGATATTAGGTCACCAAAGTCGTTTAGGACGAAATTGAGAAAAACCACTATAGTCGAGGACGATTTTGGGTATTAACTCATTATCAATTTGGTCCTCAATTACCATTCTTACCCAATTAAGTCCTCAACTATGTAACTTTTACTCAATTAAGTTCTCAACTATATAATTCTTACCCAATTTAGTCCTCTGTATTAATTTGACTGTTTGTTGACTGTCAAAAGTCGGGATAAAATTATAATTTTACAAGATTTCTCCTTCCTCTCCATTTAGCAGCGCCAAACCATGCAGCAATACACTCCGATCAGATTTCGATCGTCAAAAAATCGTTGAAAATCAAATTCATGGGCTATCTGATGCACAACCACTACTTCGATACTAACAGGTTTAGAACCCAACCGGAGCTTATTGCCACATGGTTTATGGTTTAGCGCTGCTAAATGCAGAGGAAGGAGAAAACTTGTAAAATTACAACTTTATTTCCACTTTTGACAGTCAAATTGACAAAGGACTAAATTGGGTAAAAATTATATAGTTGAGGACTTAATTGGGTAAGAATGATAGTCGAGGACTAAATTGGTAATTACGACATAGTCGAGGGACTATTTTGGGTATTAACTCAAACATATATAACTAGTCGACAATAAAAGTGTGTACGGAGTAATTAAAAAATGCTGACATTGGGACCAACTTTAAGGCAACTAATAAATTTTAGTGAGTAGAGAAGACTCAAAAGTTAATAACCATATACAGGAATAACTGTTGGTTAATCTGCAGAAACTGGTAGAGATAATAAAAAGCATCTCGTCACCTATTAGCAAGGAACTAACTGTACATAAAATGTTAAAATTATAAGGAAAAAAAAAAAAAAAAAAAAAAAAAAAAAAAAAAAAAAGCATACTAAATAATTTCACATCCCTTACACTGCAGTCTACTTATTCTCTAAATTTTCCATTTCAATAACTTTGGATGTTGATTCTATATGTGGCAGGCAATATCACATCTCCTAAATCTGAGCATTATCTGTTTTGTATCTTTGAAGCTCTTCTTGGGCACATATGAGCCTGCAGATAAAAGGAAGACGGTTTCAGAGCAAGTAAATTGTATTGTGAAGAGAGAGTCATAAGAATGTGTGTAACCATAATATACCTCCATTGCAAATCGCTGATTTCACGAAGTAGTTCTTTCTCTTTGTCATGAGCTATCTCCAGCTAAAGGTAACAAGGGGAATGTGCAATTTTGTTGGTTGTATTAAAGAAGATGGTTAGAAACTTGAAGCCGTCTAGCAGGAGCATTTAAAGGAATGAAAACAGAAATGTAATGCCAAATGGACAGAATTATAGCAAAACGCGTACCAATGATTTCTCTGTTGCTCCGTGGTTCAGAGAAAGGGATCCAGAGTCCACTGCACAGGGTAGATGAATGTGCATTGAAGAGGGTAAAACTGTTTGCACAAGTTATAAATGAAATTCAAAGGAGTTTTAAATTTTTAATTGCTCCTACCTATGGGATCAGAACCAGTGGCTTGCCTCATCAGGCTAAGGATATTGTCCTGTGCAAAGATACAAACATCATACCTCTTATGCAAATGGGGAACTTCCAGGGCATGTTTACTAACTAAAAAATTCTCTAATTTTCAGAAGAAAAAATATAAAATATGTTTTTTAATTAATTATTTTCCAACTTCATAAAATTTTGTTTATAACCACCAATCTACCAATACAATCACACGTCATCACCTACGTACGTACCTACCACCAAATTCCTAATCTCACCCCAACCTAGTACCCCCACCCCCACCTCTACTTCCAACTATTTACCCATTATTGCTATCACTACGTACATATCAAGCGCCACCCCGTCTCCCTACCAACCACACATCACCACTATTTATTGATCACTGAAAGAAACAATCAAAATTCAAATAAATCTATATTTTACAAATTAGAAATTGTTTGGATTTGAACAAATTTCTTAGTTTTCGAATAGAAAATGAGAACTAGAAAAATTTTAGAAAACTAGAGATAGACAATTGATAACATTTTCTGCTACTAAACAGGCTTAAATGTTTCAATTTCTGACCAATGCCTACCCTTTGAATAATATTTGTCTGCAAAATATTTTGCAATGTTCTGAAAAATGAATGAACAGGAATATTTGGTGCCATGGACTCTGGTGCGAATGATTGAGACACAGATGGATGCTGTGTAAATGCCTGCATCAAACCAGGAATCAAGCGTAAAAGATCTTTTTTAATCTCCTTTCTGTACAACTAAGTTTGTTCAAACTCAAGCATGAATGTTTTGATAGTAGGAAAGTTCAGGCTGAGGGATGTGACCAACCTGCACACTGTGGCTTTTTGGTAGCATTGGAGTTGGAGGAACCTATGGGAAGAAATTATGTGTAAAAGCAATTTTCATCTATCAATAGTATTGGGAAAACATAAATGGTTATGAATTCACCTTTTCTAAATCAACATTCTCAGAGGTAACTTTGAAACGTCCTTTTTGCTGAACAATAGGGCACTTTGTCTTATCATCAGAATCTTCACCATTTGCTGCATTCATTAGTTTGTGATTCAATGAATAACCTAAATCATGTACCAAATATTTTTAAAACTAAAATGAGAATAAAACATGGTAACTCACCTGATGTTCTACTAGTTCTATTAATGGCTTCAGCTGGTGCATCATTGCAAGGTGAGCTGTAATTAGGTGAACATTTATCACTGAGACTGTAGAAATGGATTGTCTCTAGAAATACATACTGCTTCATAAGAACTCATAAAGAATACTATGGATCAATTTTAAAAACAAAGGGAAAAGTACAAAACAAAATTTGGGTACTTGATATGAAACACTGAAGAAAAACAAAAGGGAAATATACCTACCAAAATTCATTTCTTTGGTTTGAATTTGTAGGGGAGCTCTCAGTTAATTTTCCATCAACCTCCTGCTCAGATTTGACAGGTAAATTCCTTTCGAGTAAGTTGTCATAAGAAGGAGATGAACTTCTTGAAATATGGTTGTCCTGGAATGAACTAGCAAGACTGACATCATCATCTGATTTTTCACATTTAGCTCTGTAAATTAAAAGCAAGGCAAGTTACACACTAAACTACAGTCAATAAAGCTAAGTTATGCAAAGTAGATGGGCAGTGCCCAAAATGCTCATATTAAACCACCATACTCCCATACAATTATAATTTACCAGACTTCATAGGAGAAGGTGCATGCGTTTATATAATATCAATGTTTGATTGCAGAAACATTATACAAGAATATTTAGAAAGATTTATGAAAAGACACATACATGTTACAAGCTGATGTTGGGTCCACGGGAGAAAGAGGAGCAGATAGGTTGTAATCATCCTGTCAATACAAAACATTTTAGGAGAAAATACACCAGAACAGCATCCTAGTCAAAACTGTAAAAATAGAAATTGGCATACAGTTTCTGCATTATCTGAAGATCGACTTAAAAATGAAGACTGGTGTTGAAGTTTCTTTCCACTAGTGTCCAGAGATACTAGAGAATTTGAGCTCGCAACAGAAAGGATTTCTTCATCTGGAATCTGAAAGGTGAAAAAGGAAAAGAGAGCTATTTTGGAATTAAATCAACTATACTTGTTAACAAAATGAACAAAAAGTATTCAAAATGTTACTTGAACTTCCCAATGCAAAACCCAATATGCCTTTGCCAATTGAGTTAAATTAATTTTCCCTTGAGATAACTTAGAGATGAATATTCATTAGAATGCACAACAATTGACTATACCAAAGAAGCCTGGGCCTTGAGATCTTCAAGGTTGAAGTTCCAGCTGCTTATCCCACGTTTATACTCATTCTGCACATGTTTTCAAGCAAATAGAGATCTGAGAAATTAATAAGTGTAACAAAAGTAAACATGGGTGTAATAAAGAAAAGTTAAAAGGTTTTTAAATCATTCTGTAGTGTTGGAAAGAGAACAAAATGAGAGAAAAAGAAATCATAACCATAAGCAAGAAAATAACCTAGACAATCCATAGTCTATAAATTAGGAAAAGAGCTACATATTATCATGCAATTAATCTTAAAGAATGGATTCTGTTGAAATATAGAAAGTTGAAATCCTACTGTAACCTAAGTACCTAACCCATTATTTAGGCCCAAAACATCATACTTCTATATAAGCATGTATCTCTCTTAGAATGTACACAATACAATGTTATTATCATTAGTATTATACATCCATATCCTTTGGATTTCATATATTTAGCTTCCGTCTAATTGGTGGGTAGTGGCCATTGGCCATTGGCCGGCCATTCATTAGGCCTTTTAATCCTTCAATTTCAACAGATTAATTGTGTCTACTATGCTTCCCTAAGCTGCCAGGATGTTTCATTACTTGAAAGGATGTATTTTACTATGCTTATAATCAACTAGGCATGTATTTATTATGTTTACAATAGTCAACTGGAACTTTCTCAGTCAGCTTAATACTGATACTCCAATATTACAATATTTTAGTACATTGATGAGTTTGTGTTCTCTCTTTTAATAGCAACAAAGGTCATGTAATGTACAAAAATTAGGTTCTCTGTACCCTGAAGGATCAAACTGTTTTGGAGTTTAGAAAAGCACTTTTCAGTCATCACCTAGTATACTTTGGAAACCAAACTGCCACAAATTTTCTGTTTGTTCATATGAATACGACAAAGAGTAAATGGCAGTTTTAAGAAAAAGAAATTTTTTTTTAACCTATAATTGATGCCTAATACTAAAGTTAAGCTGTAAGAATTGCAAATCATAAATACAAATATTAGCAAAAAAAAAAAAAAAAAACACTGAGAATAAGCAAGCAACATAAAAGGATTGTCATCTCAAAAAGAAATCTACAGAAACCAAAATATACCCAATCATATAGAAATCTCAAAAAATAAAAGCTATTCCTGCAGACTGCCAACATCATAGGTAAAGCAGTTAAAATAACTTTGACCATAAACCAAATGAAACAATCCCCAAAACCCCTCTGAACTTCCAATAACCAACATGCTATTATCTTGACACATAGTTTTTCAAACATACTCATAATAGTCATCTCAAATATAATGTAATATATATAACACTAAACGACATCAAGAATAGACAAAATTTAACAAGTTAAACTTGAAAATTTTTCTCAGACTGGAATATTTGGGAGAAATAACCAACTAAATACAAAAATTAGCAAAAAAGAAAACCTGAGAATAAGCAATCAACATAAAAGGATTATAGTGCTACAAAATACATTTGTGGGCATTGCTTTAGTGTGAAGAAGTTTGAGAATCAAGGTACTCTCTTTTATTTGACCTGTTAGATTGGTTATGAATATCAGAAATCAAACCTGAGATATTTCTTCTTTTTGTCCATCTGGTATTTCCTTTTGTGCCAACATTTGTTCTTCTTTCTTCTACATTAAGTGGGCAGAATCTACAATTAGTATAGAGTACAAAACAGAGGCAACAATATGGACAGAGCATTTCTCAATTAAGGAAACAAACTGAAACACATGCATCAGAGCTAACCTTCAATTCCCTAATCCGATCACCAAGAGCTGGCAAGCCATCTAACAATCTTCGTGCTATATAATCATTTGACCGAGCTTGCTTAAAGAAAGAATGTTTCGACAACTTCTTAGCTGAAGGTCTTTTTGAAGGCTCTTTTACCAAGCAACTAGCAATCATTTGCTTAAATGACTAAGATAAGAAAACAAATAAAACAAGTCAATTTACTTATTCCTAAACAATTCCCAAAAGATGTTTCTTAGCAAAATACCTTGGAGAACTTCTTGTCCCTTTCGTAATCAAGGCCAGGAGGTGCATTTTGCAGTGTCATTAACAGCACCTGATTAATGAGTAATGTAACAAATATTAATGATATGGTAAGGCTCCAAAAGACATGAACACAAAGCTTTTGCTTTGACTATCACCTTCATTGGAGGATACTTTGAGAAAGGTGCATGGCCGTGGGCAAGTTCTAAAGCAGTAATACCAAAAGACCAAATATCTGCTCTGAAAGAAGAGAGAAGAAAACGATAGGTACATCTATATCAATACATTTCATAATGATTGAAACAAAGGGAAAAGCACTTACTTGAAATCATAACCATGCAACTGTTCCATAACCTCTGGTGCCATCCTGAAAAATAAATTAGTTGATAATGACAAAGAAATTAGTATCCATGTCATCCAACACAGAAGTCAGAGGATTAAAGTGATGAGGATTTGGTTAAGCATCAATACCACTAAGCATGGAAATTCAAAACACACCAAAATGCCATAAACCTCAAACTAGTGCAACAGAAGATAATGTTTGTGTGTACATGTGTGTATAACAAAAACATTATACCAATATAGAGCTTAAACCTCAAACTAGTGCTGTACATGTGTGTATAACAAACATTATACCAATATAGAGCTTACCAACAAGGAGTACCAACAAATGTATTTCTCATGCGTGTTCTGTCACCCGAATCAAACAAACAAGCAGACACACCAAAATCGCCAAGCTTAATTCCTCCCCGTGCATCAATAAGAATGTTTCCAGCCTGAGGATGGTTAATAAAACAAAGGACACAAGAAGAATTTACTCCTTTGGCATTATCTTAACTAACTTTCCGCTACTTGTCAATAGCTATGTCATCATTAGATCTGTATATCTCCTTGGTCACATTAGCTTCACTCATTGATCCAAATAGGGGAAGAAATTGACATAATACATGCATAAAAATTTGAGCATAAGCAATATGTAAAAACTCACTTTCACATCTCTGTGAATGTGGCCATGTTGATGAAGATACTCTAAACCCTTCAATATTTCACGCAGTATTGTTGCAATGACAACCTCTTCTAAACCATCTGGATAAACAGCCTTTAAAATATGAAGACACGAACCCCCAGCCATGAAAGGCATGACAACCCACAAATTATGATCACTGACAAAGGAGCAATGAGATTTAAGAACATTGGGATGGTCTACTAAGACCATTGTCTGTGCTTCTCGGAAGACATTACTCTGTTTCAGAAAGCAAGAATCAGATAAACAGAACTTTTGTCATACAACACCATAAATAATCAGTTAACCTTTATTTATTTTTTTAAAGCAATATTGCAGAACAAAAAGAATATTATGCAAGTTACAGGAATACAAGAAAAACTTGCAGGGACCAATGAAACAATTTTGAATAAGACCATAGTAGGAAGGTAATTACACATTTTTTTTTGGTGAAGAGGTAATTACACATTATAAAATAGGTCTATTTGCTACAGCTGTTAACAAACCAAACATGAACGAGGCAGAGGTTGTTCGTGTTGGTTTGTTAAGATTTTTGGAGTGTTCGTGTTCGTTTATTAAGTGTTCATTAGTGTTCATTAACATTCACAAACATGTTCTTTAATATTTGAAGAACACGTCCATGAATGCTAAATAAACAAACACATACGCATGTTCATAATCATAATTCATTTATGAACAAGAAAAGTCTATGTTCATGAACAATAACCAAACAAATAACATAACTACTATGAAAGTAATACAAATAAGTCCAAAAGAAGATATCAAAGTGAAAATACCAGTCCCAAGAAAAAAAAGAACACACACACACACAAAATTTGTTTGTTAACATTACAAGCCAAAAACATAAAAACTTAAAACATAAGATATTTAGATTCCACATCCGGCATCCCAATAAAATTAATAAAGTAGTATAATTGTATAATCTTAATATATATATATATATATATATATATATATATATATATATATATATATATATATATATGACTCTAATTGTTTATTATCCGAGCTCTAAAATTTGTTCATGTATGTTTGTAAAATTCCCTATTATTTGCTCTTCTCCATTCGGTTATAGACACTGCATTTTTCAAAATATTCTTTCACCTTATTCAAGGTGTCTCTAGCAAGCCAAACAGGGATGGAACCTGGAAAGGAGCTATAGTATTAAAAATCAAAAGAAATTCAAAGAACAAGTGATATAATTTCGAACATATAAAATTATTTTTTAATATTTCAATTGAAAGCTGTGTAAACAATATAACTTGAAAACAACAATACTCCGTAGGATCCAAGTCACCTTGTCATCCATTTATAATTCCCAACTATTTGGTACAAAGTACGTCTAATACGGAGTATAATGCAATAAACTTTCCAACAAATAAATATGAAGAATCAAATTCCATCACCATCATATTGCTTAACACCGGCTGAAAACATTTGTTGCACAGAATAAAGTTGGTGGATTCCACAATAAAAACACATTATCGTGAGCAAAAAATAAATAACTATTACCAGATCACAGTTATCGCGTTCGAAGTCAAGGATTTTGACGGCGACAACCTCATTCGTAGGAATACAGAGAGCGCGATGAACAGAGGCGCTGACTCCTTGCCCTATCTCCTCATACAGCGTGTAATGCTCCGCTCCAATCGGATACTTCTTCTTATCCATGATTCCAAGCCCTATCAACGCCTCTACAGATCAAAACACCGATTTCCGCAACAAAACCTTGACCGGAACACCTTACCGGTGATCCATTCGAATTGTGAACAAAATGCTTCGAGAATTGGTAATAAGCAATGCGAATTTTAGATTTTTTTGGTTGGTTGGTTAGCTGATGAATTGGGAAGTATTAAATAAAATATCTAATTCAATGAAGAAAGGGAGAGAGAGAGAGAAGAAAAAGAAAAGGTGGAAGAGAGCGGCATTGATGATGATGACGAAGGTTGTTCTCCCCCGCTTTCTCGTGAAAAGGGAGAGAAAAAAGAGCGCCAGTAACGGACTGCGGATGGAAGCCTTTTTGTATAAGGTATATCCCGCCACTTGCCTCCTTTTACATAATTTAGCTCATTCTTCCCGACTTTGCGGGGTTGAAAAACTTATATTAATTACACTTTGACTATTATTAAAGATCATGCCAATTTCATATAAAATATCCCTTTAATGCTAAATATATACATCATAAATGATATTACAATCTTCTTCTTTTTTTTTCTTTTTTTTCATTTTTTTTTTGTGGGGGGACAAAAATGATACAATCCCTTCAAATCTGGAAATTATATTGTAATGTAAATGTAAATTATGATTCGAAATAGTGTCATTTTATATTAAGTTCTTAACATTGTTAATCAATGTATCTTCTTTAATAATATTTATTGTGTAATATGTTAATTATATTTATTCTATACTAGTCATAAATACACATCATGTACGATTGAAGAATGCCTAATAAACAACAGAAAGTTTGTAAAATTAAATGACCAAAATACAAAAAAGTAACATTAATATTATAAATATTAGAAGATTGAATTTTAACTTTTTGATGATATGGTATATTATTATTTAGCATGAGTTTTTAAAAATGCATTGAATTAGTAGATCTTTTATTTCAAAAGGATTATATTTAGATTTTAGCAAATGCAATTTATATAATTGATTTATTTTTATTTTAGTTATATATATATATATATATATATATATATATATATATATATATATATATATATATATACATACTAGTATTTTCTCTCGTGCGTTGCACGAAATGAATTTGTTATAATATTTTTAGAATATTTAGATCGATATACGATTATATAAATTATAATAACGAATATTATATAGTGCAATTGATGAAATGGGTTCGATCGATTATGTTTTCTGATGTTATCCTTACTTGAATTCGAGCACATAATTGCACAATTAACAATGCGATGCACGGATACAATTTTTTATTATATACTAGTATTTTCACTCGTGCGTTGCACGGACTAGATTTGTTATAATATTTTAAGAATATTTCGATCGATATATAATTGTATAAATTATAACATCGAATATTATATAGTGCAATTGAAAAATTGAGTTGGATCGATTATGTTTTTTGATGTTATCATTGCTTGAATTCGAGAAAATAATTATCCAATTAATAGCTAACGTGTAGATATACGCATCCGGTGCTGAAAGTTTAGAGAGTTTATATATCAGTGTTTAAGATTTGTATTAATTGGGCTAATTAGCTCGTTGTCTAGTAACTTAGTTGTAGAAATTATTTTGTACGGAAGATATATATTTTCTATATATATATATATATATATATATATATATATATATATATATATATATATATATATATATATATATATATATATATATATAGCAATTTTGTCACCTTTCTCAGTAGTTGATATATATAGCAATTTTGTCACCTTTCTCAGTAGTTGCTATTGGATCGGGTCCACACTTCAACAGAAACTGTGCCAGAATATCAATCTCAGACAAACCGTCGTTACAACCCCTGCAATCCCATCTCCAATGTCTATAATCCATTTTGAAAACCAATCAACCGTCTGTCTATTTTCCTCTAAAGCTAAGCTCTGTAGTCTCAAGTTATTCGTGAGCCTCAATACCTTGCAATTTGTCCGAGGTAAGAAGAATTAATAGTGGCTCCGACAACTATTGGTCTCGTTTCTTTCCGAATAACGGGAAGAATTCATCTAAAATCGCCGCCCAAAACTACTGTATTTCCACCAAATGTCTTTTCAACACTACCCGGTATGGCAAACCTCGATAAATTCCTCATGGTTTTCGGGGCTTCGTCCCATATTATCAATTTGCTCCTTATTATAAACTCAGCAAGGTCATTGCATTGCGATGTATTGCACGTGGAATCTTCGTTCAAAGAGAGTGGTATAGCAAATCTGGAATGTGTCGTCTTGCCTCCCGGCAAGAGCAACGTTGTTATTCCACTCGAAGCAACGTTGAGAACAATATCACCGCGGCCCCTTATCTTTGGCGATAACGTTCTCCACACGAACGTCTTGCATATTCCTCCGTAACCATACACAAAGAACAATTCACATCCATTAGAATCAATATCATTCATCACAAATTCGTAGACATTCTTATGCTCATCCGTCAATTGTGTTACCAACGTTTCATGCTCCTGCCATCAACGATTCCTTGTCATACGCCAATTCTTCGGCTATCAGCATGTTTTCCATCAAAACCCATGCTGCTTTCGTCTGGAATTGACATTTCTGAAAAATCCCTCAGACTCTTCCCTCACAAAGATAGCAACTTCTTCAACTCCACCAGAGGCAGCTGTTTCATATCCGAATCCGATAACACCAACTTTTATTAATAATATAGATTAATTAATATTCATATTAGGTATAACGAGAAAGTTGAAGGGGATGATTTGACTTTTATTAATAGTATAGGTTGGTGTAAAATCAGTATTCGAATTATTATTATTGGTGTAAATAATAATTAATAAATCATTAGTTCCTTATAAAATTACATAATAATTAATAAATCATTAGTTCCTTATAAAATTACATAATAATTAATAAATCATTATTTCCTTATAAAATTACGTTATTACGCAGAATTTCCAATGAATATTATCAATTAATAGATATTAGTTAATTTTCATATAACATTTTGTTACCAATAAGAAGCCAGAGACAAAAACAGACTCCATTAGTCAACAATAAGGTGAAATAGCAGAAATACCTTAGAAGAACAGAAAATAATCGATGAAAGAATTGTTCACGATTAAGAGAGTATTTATAGTGCAATTTCAAGATTATTATTTGTAGAAATAAGGATGCATGTTTCATGTACAATTGTATTAAGGTTAGGAAAGTATTTATAGTGTAATTTCAATCAATATTATTATTTGGAGATTCAGTAAAATAATAAGTAGTTAGAATTGTATTACGGATAAGAAAGTATTTATACTGTAATATTAATCTTTTTTTTTTGCTAAATACTGTAATATTAATCTAAATTATTGCAATTTCAATATTATTATTTGTAGAAATATTGGTGCATGTTTAATGTAAAATTGTATTAAGGTTAGGAAAATAATTATAGTGTAATTTCAATCAATATTATTATTTGGGGATTCGGTAAAATAATAAGTAAAATTGTATTACGGATAGGAAAGTATTTATACTGTAACTTTTTTCTAAAATTATTGCAACTTCTATATTATAATTTGAAGAAATAATGATGCATGTTTCATCTACAATTGTACTAAAGTTAGAAAAGTATTTATAGTGTAATTTCAATCAATATTATTATTTAGAGATTTTGTAAAATCTATACTATATATATAAAAAACAAAATCCTGAAATTTTAACTTCCCGCTCAATTCTTAAAAATCTATCTTCCTAATAAAATATATTGATTTCTACTTTTCCATTCGTACAATAATTCTAGGTTAAAATTCTATTCTAATATTATAAAATAGTGTAATACAATTCCTATTATAATGTATACTATGTATTAAAACAAAATCCTGAAATTTTAACTTCCCGCCCAATTCCTAAAAAATCTCTCTTTCCTAATAAAATATATTGATTTCTACTTTCCCATTCGCATAATAATTCCGGGTTAAAATTCTATTCTAATATTATAAAATAGTGTAATACAATTCCTATTGTAATCTATACTATATATTAAAACAAAATCCTAAAATTTTAACTTCCCGCCCAATTCATAAAAAATCTCTCTTCCTAATAAAATATATTGATTTCTACTTTCCCATTTGTACAATAATTCTGGGTTAAAATTATATTCTAATATTATAAAATAGTGTAATATAATTCATATTGTAATCTATACTATATATAAAAACAAAATCCTGAAATTTTAACTTCCCGCCCAATAGGAATTGTATAGATTATTGTTATATTATTATTGTGACTCACGGTCATTATATACTAACAGAACTTGAAAAGAAACTAATAATAATAATAATAATAATAATAATAATAATAATAATAATAATAAGAAGAAGAAGAAGAAGAAGAAGAAGAAGAAGAAGAAGAAGAAGAAGAAGAAGAAGAAGAAGAAGAAGAAGAAGAAGAAGAAGAAGAAGAAGAAGAATATTAACGTAAGAATTATAACATAGAATAAATCGTAATAATTAATAAATATAGTCTAGGATTAAATTTGGAATTGTCAGGATTGATAAGCGACCTCTGGCGAAATTAACTTTTAAATAATTATATATTGATTTAAATATTCTTAATATATTACAACAATTCCATTCCGTGCATCACACGGGTGAAAATACTAGTAATAAGTAGAATTGTAGTACGGGCAGGAGAGTTTTTTTTTTTTTTTTTTTTTTTTTTACCGATTCCTTTCCATTATTCCTTATTATTATTAAGTGTTTAGACGGGAAGTTGCAAAAGTATGATTTTTGTTTTTATTAGTAGTATAGATAGATTACGTTGCAGGGAAGTATATGTATTGCATTATTACGATTAGTAATTTTAATCTAGAATTGTATTACGAATAGGGAAGTAGGAAAGAATATATTGTATTAGGAATTATATTACCATATTTTAATGTAAAATTATAGTACGAATAGAAATTGTATTACCATATTTTACATTATTACATAAACCTTAAATAGTACAAGAGTGTTTTGGGCAGAAAGTCGAAGTGGAGGATTTTACTTTTATTAATAGTATAGAAGTATAGATATATATTGGTGTAAAATCAGTATTCGAATTTATATTATTGGTGTAAATAAAAATTAATAAATTATTATTTCCTTATAAATTTACGTTATTACACGGAATTTTCAAAGAATATTACCAATTAATAAATATTAGTTAATTTCCATATAATCTATACTATATATAATAACGAAATCCTGAAATTTTAACTTCCCTCCAAATTCCTAAAAAATCTCTCTTCCTAATAAAATATATTGATTTCTACTTTCCCATTCGTACAATAATTCTGCGTTAAAATTATATTCTAATATTATAAAATTATGTAATACATG